GGCTTTTGGGGGGGGGGGGGGGGATGAGAACGGCAGTTATTTTACGAAACTGAGATCGTCATTTTTAAATGTTGTCGGGCTCACATGTTCCTGAAGTAATTTTCCGATTTAGTAACGATCTGTAGTTATTATTCCCGGGAAAGTAAAATATAACTCCCCCCCCCCCAAATAAAGAAATTGAGAAAACTCGTGGAAACACGAAGGCAGTCGGTGGGGATACCGCAACTAATAATATTTCAGAGACCCATTTCGCATTGCCTTGCTTGTTATGACGAGCAGCGTGTAGTCCAATTGTTACCCTACGTTGGTGAGGAGGTGCCCATGGCAGGGGCTGGACGGATGATTTTGTAGACTGCAAACCCTCAGTCCCACATTTTGATCCGGCACGCTTCTCTTCACTGACAAGTTTTGTACGTGTTTGCTGTTTCATTCTCTCAGTTCTTGCAAGTGCCGTGCGGCTGTAGACTTTAGAATAGTCGGACGCTTATTCTCGCAGCATGAGAATGTGATAATCATAACGTACTTTAACTTAAGTACTCTTATGTAAGCAGAGTTATGAAAGAAACACAATTTGTGGCTTGTGCTCCGGCCTTTGATAGAGGTTAGGTTAGTTTACTAAGAGAACAACAAAATGAATGTGAATTTGTTCTTGTGTTGAAGCCTAATAGGATGCAACATGCAACACATGAAATAAATTCGCTTCAATAGTGAAGGTGCATTTCGTGATTACAATGCACACAAAACCGCTTACTTTCTTTTGAGACTTTAAATTTCGCTGAAATTCTAAGTCTTTGAGATGCAATTAAATGTAGTGGCTGACAGAATATGTTAATTACAACTTTGATGGGCTGTGTGGCTGTCGTGTCCGAAAGAACGAGACGTTTGGATATCTTGTAGGACTCCTTGGAATGTCACGAGACTTGCAGCCAAAATACAACGCAACGGGGAGAGGACAGGGTACGTTAATGCATCCTAGTGGGATTCGATCCGGCGCTCTCCGTGTTTGTGCCGGCCAAGAGCCTGGGGCCGTAGCTTGTTGTCAGCCTCCGAAGTTATGCAGAAAATTTTGCTACAGTCCGAAGGAACTGCGGAGATAACAACTAATTCGCGCATAAATGATTATTGGAATATGGAACTTTTTAATTTTGAGGTCTAAATATGCAGCGGATTTGTTATAAATGCGAATATGGAAGGAGGGTAATGTAGGATGTGTTGAAGAAGGACCAAGAAATTGTTAGGTCTCGGTCAGTGATCTTTGCATCACAAGACCTAAGATTCTCAGTAAACTTGTAGCAGACTACACGGCCGCCGTGAGAATCTCAAATCCTAACTAGAATATGTCTGTCTGTCTGTGCGTTTGTATAAGAAACATTTCTGGATGATAGAACGTGACATTTCTGCTTCGTGTTAGGGCGGCTAACGTCTGGGTCTGAAGGCCGTCTATACTGATTGAGTGTTTTGGTAGACTTAAAATTGGCCTCGACCGCTATTAACATAGGACTGCACTTCCAGTTTATTGTTAATCATCGTTTGAGTCGTCGCCATATAATCTGAGCCACTGTCAGAATTACTAAATTAATCAGAAATAAGTTGTTAATTAATTGCGCGTATTTCTGGAAAGTGTTTCATTGCAAAGTTCTTCGTGATTAACGCACAACTTGTGAATTGGTTTTTCCTCGAAAAGCTAATCCGCATAATCGTGAGCGCTTATTGTTTGTTGTTTTGTTTATCTGAACCTGCCTTTTTAAAGGAGTTTAATCGAATGAAATATCCCTTCTCCGTATTCGGAAGTCTTGTGTTTCTCTGCCTTTTAAACTTGCAGTTCCCGATTTTCGGAAACGATAGAGTTTATAGAACGAATATTTTCATGTCACAAACGTGAAGGGGATTTCCAATAAGAGATGCGAACGAATGTGACCGCAGAATATTTATTTATTTTCGAAAAAATGTATTTAACAGGAAACTAAAATACTGGCATGACCATATGACAGAAAATGGAAATAAAAACTGCATGTTGTGGGCTGTGGACCACGATAGGTTTTTAAAAAAAGTTCTTGGCAATTCGCGTTCAGTATGTATACGGAACTCAATATTGGCAACATGCCACATCCCAGGGATCTTCGTCAGTGATCAGCATTTTTTCTTTTGTACAGTTTCTTCAGTCGAATAGTGCACGTTCCTGTAAAATTGGCAGTGAGCGGCGCTGTCATGGAAAATAATGTATGCAGAGTTCAGTAGTTTATAATTCGCATGTAGCGGCTGAAACGTTGATACTAAATTCGGTAAACAATCATTTGGGTTCTATATTCACAAAAATGTTAAGAGCAAATTATTTTCAAAGATTGCTTGTACCATTCGGATCAGAATTCTTTTCTCGTCTTCTAAACACGTAAGGATGTAAGGAATAAAACATTTAAAAAGCTGATATTTTGTCTTGCCTTAAAACAAAAGCAGAGATCGAGGGTGTTTGACAACACGACGGCCTGTGCACTGCCGACACATTGCAGCTCCTCCAAGCTTTATCCATTCAGTGGTGGGTCACACGAGATCGGCTGAGAGCTCTGTCCGTGAGCGGGTGAGCGAGACATTCCACGCCTTCCTTTTAAACCACGAAATTTGGACGAATTGGAAATGTTTCCGCCCATCTGGACAAAGTTGCGTAAAAAGCCGTCATTAATTCTTGAAGAGTGAAGTCTCCACTTCGTGCACCGAGCATTGCTTTATAATGAGGGAAAGATTACTTTAAAAATCAATTAGTGTGATACACAGAGAGAAACGAACTTAAAAACAATTAAACTTTCTCTCTCTTTAAGTGATGACAATTAAATTGCAAAATTTTAATTCAATAAGCCTTACGTAAGTTATTTATTGATAATTGCCAATTTGTGTAGACCTGGAATTTGGGATCACAGATTTCCTCTCAGTCCAGTTTAGGTTGCGTAATCATTTTCCATGCATTTAATCTCGACCGGGGATGTTCTTAATTCGTCTCGTTCGTGTTATTCCTTGTTGAAGAGAATTAAAAGATGTTTGGGGCGGGCGTAGGGTCTTATATAGCAAGGGCTTTCCCTTGTCTGGCTGCAAGGTCTAATGGAAAACGCGACTTTGGAACTAACGCTAGTGCCTTTGGTGGTGGTAAGAATAAACATTCAGGTTTCAGAACAAGGAATTTCTTTAATTGTGACGTTCTGTGTGTCAGAGATTACCAAGCGTCAAGACGTCGTTCGCTTATAATATTTTTAAGTATAATTAGCGGCTGTCACATGCACTTGGGCTGGGGAGGGGGTGAACGGTCGAGGGTGGAGGGGGGGATGAAGCGAGGAACAGAATATACATACTGCGGAGTCAAACATATCATAGTATAACTTTGGTTTCCACTCAGTGCGAATTTTATGTAACGAATTCTCGTCAGTCAGCGAACTTTGGCCTCCTTCAGAACACGAGGCAAAGGACTGGTGCGAATTTCAAAACGATAGCTCAGCTGCCGATGTTACTGCCAAGTGGTTTTTGAAAACGCTGTGTTCCTGCTGTTGTGAAGAGACGTTTTGGCGCCGATTGGTCACTCAGAAGGACCAGGAAGAGACTCAGCCTCTGATTCTGCAGGGACCAAGGGACTGTCTCAGGCTACCTCGTCGCCTTCAGGACCTCAAATCCTACTTCAGTTGTTCGCTCATTGGTCTTGTTGGCTGGGTTAGGTCGACTTCAGTTGGTCGGTCGGTCGATCGATCGGATGATTGATTGTTCAAGTGGTCTTGCAATATGAAGTTGTGCAGTAGCGCCACGTAAACATGGATGCAAATATGAAATCCCTTAGGACATTCGGTCACGATTATTACGTTCGTACCTGCAGGCGACGATGCGCTGACCGTCTACGGATTTCAGTTCAGTGGCAGTTGTTAAAACAATGGTTAAGTGTAAACGCGCGTACATACAAGTTCAAAATTCGTGCCCCGATGTCCCGAGGTCAGTGTAATCGTTAATTGTTCCTTATTGCAATGTCTGGACGTGTGAACTTGTCGTTTTGAACTGACAAACGCGGAATATTTGTCAGAGGCTGGCCCACTGGAAACCAGTTCGGGGAGTATGGCGCTTGAAAGCAATATCCAAAGTGGCAAACAACGCGGGCAGTCGAATTATTTGAAGCTGAAAGTTCGTACGGAAACTGAATTGATTGGTGAACAGCTTGCGTATGAGCGCAACCACACAAATTTCGCGCATGTGAGATTCGAATTCGCCATCTTCATCTTCGAGAGAGTGAATAACAAGGATCGCGGCAGATTGGACTGAGCTGGCAGCGTGAACGTTAAACGCTCGTATTTGGCTTCTCCGACTTTTTTAAAGTAATTTCTGACAACGTATGTGCCTTATCTACGTTGGCCTTCTGGGTTTTTAATACCGTGTGGGTTCATCCATGAAGATGGAGGCACTGCGTTTCTCCGAAACGTCCGTACAACGGAGAAGACTAACACGGACGTCTCCACCGCCGTCGGAGCCCCAAATGGCTGTCGAAGTCTACAGCATTTTTCTATCTACCGGATTTGCATACGCTGCCCACTTCTAAAAGTATATTTGTATTTTGTGCCTAATTTAATTAAAATTCTTTGCGTGGATCGTGTTTATTGACTTGTTTACAAATTTTAACAATGAACGTATTGCGGTAAAGTTAGTTTAGGTTATATTTCAAAACTTACATATCTTGGGACAGCTGAAAACTTGTGTAAACCAGCGCAGAGCATCCTTCCTTGCCCCGTACGAAGTTAGTGATGAATAGCTACCGTTAGAATTCCATTAATGTTTTACGATAAGCGACGAAAATCCCGTCATTTCCGTCCCAGGACATTTCTCAAGACCCAAACGCGATCTTCCCGTCATGACTTGGAACAAGCCAATAGCAGCGCTCATTCTGTAACACGTCGTTCGCTGCCTCGTTACTGATTGTTGCTGACAGATAGCGTTACTGATACGGAGATAACGCTGAAGCTCTTTCTAGAGAATGTGTTACCTCATGACACGACGTAATTTTTCAGTTTTCTTATAATAAATTAACTGTATTTATAACCACAAATATAAATCTATCGTGTTACTTACGTATGTTTCCTTTTTCATTGTTCTGAAAAGTAAATGGATTCCAATAATGATGTTATCTTACAAAATACGCATTTAAGACTACGATAAATTTACAATTTGTGACGAAAATATTTCCTCAGGCATGGCTTATAAAGGTAAATTTCTGAACTTCAGGACACTTCCGTTGAAAACATTAATAGGAAATAGACCGTCGTCTAAAGTATCGTTTATTATTTAACATAACAGCAAAATCTTTTACGAAGTTACGCAAAATTAAAATATCACTGACATATTAAATGAAACAAATAATGTTTGTCTTACGTGCGAAAGATATGCTTTGTTTTTCTGATTGTTAAATTTTATAGAATTCTCACTGCACCACTCATTGCCGAATAAATATCAGCTTACAGACATTCACAATCTTCAAATATTTAATGTCATGATAAATTTTCAGATCTTCGGCAAATACGAGAAATTTAGAGCGTTTTATTTTAATATAAATGTCGTTAACTATTAAACAAAATATTTTCGAGGGTAGACCCTTGTGGAACTTCCGACAGTTCGGTAGATGGAGATGATACACAGTTCTGGAACCAGTTAATACAAATTTAAAATATTCCAGTAAAAATATGTACGGGATTTCATCGAAGACTTGGCTAAGACAGAAATAAACGGGGCCCACGTATTCTAGCGAACGTCTTTCAGGTAAGTCATTAAATTCATTACCGTAAATTTGTATCTTGCAGCTTAAATTTAACAGTAAAAGTGACCGTGCGCAATATTTAGATTTTTGGAGAAATTATTTTAAATCGAAGTAGGTCTGAAATTACCAGCTAGAGTGTTGTTACCTTATTATTATTATTATCATCCCATCTATTCACCACTTTATAGGGCATGTACCCGAGACAGACCTTGTCCCTAAGGTACATAGGGCAGCAGCTATTTCCGGGATCCATATTGTATTTAGCAAGTGTCACATGTATTATATAATTTTATTTTATGATGTATGAAGTTCCCAAAATGGCGGTCTTCTGCAGTTCCCTGATGTCGTGTTCGCCCGTTATTATTATTATTATTATTATTATTTTTCTCGTGATTGTTATGCCAAGCGACTTTCAACAAACGTGGAACTATGCTGTTTTATGTACAAGAGAATAGCATGTCACAAAACCTTCACAAAACATATTAAAAAAATTTCTGATTTATTTATAACGAGAATTTTTATTTTGTAAAGTCTTCGAAGAGCATTTCGGAATTTGAACAAAATTTATTTTATACAAGATGGTGCATTGTGGCCACAGCTTTCCGTCTGCGACGAGGAATCTCGTACTTTCTGGTTCTAAAAGTCGGTGCCCGTGAGTAAGAATGTGGTCATGGCAGCTGTAGCATGGACAATGCGTTGTCGGCTTCCCCTGCAGGTCCAGAGCAGGAGGGCGAAGTACCACGGAACTTCAGCTTCCAGAGCACGTGTCATCTGGCCCTGGAGCTGTGCAGTGGCAACTTCAGCTGTAAGCTCGCCTTGCAGCCGGTCCTCCGCTTCTGTGATTCCAATCGCTGCAACCGAGAAGCCTGCATGGACGCTTTGCAGAACTTCTACAGAACCGTGGATCTTAAATGGAGCCTCGAAATCGCATTCTGCCTTTGCAAGTAAGTACCAGAAATGTCTGTAGGTAAGACAGGTTGGCGAGTTTATGTGCGTAACTCGTTATTGTGTTCTTTAATGACGCAGCCTGACGGAACTGAACGTTGGGGTAGTAGTAATCTAAGCAGAGCCCACAAACAATACCAGGGGACTGGGAAGGAAACGCTACCGTAACGTTGTCCAGGTAAATACTTCCCAAAATCTACGTCACGCTTTACTCAGGAGAGACCACGTGGTCAGTAGTCACAAGAAGTCTAAATGTCTTCAGTGTCATTAAATTAAATCTTCATTCATGCTCGAAAATTTTCGCTGTAACATTCGAAATTATACCTAAGGCGGGAATTTGTTATTACGATGACGAACATTTTGTTTCTAAAACAATTAAAGAAGCTTAAATTTTCTGAATTCTTTGAAATGGAAGCTGTGTACCAAGGGTATCTGTTTTCAATTCTACTCTTAATTTTGTTAAACAAATTACAATTTAGAAAGAGAGGTATATCACGTAAACATATATACATTATATTTACCAGTTTTACATCACCGACGAAAGTAAACTTAACCATATTCTGTGTTCCATTCCCCTAAAATATTTCGTATACTTTCCGTTCGTTATTAGCTCCAATTTCCATATTTCTGGTGCCTTTTTTTGGATTGTCCGAAGTCAATGCCTTGCTTCACAAAAGTTTCATTTCTACGCTTCTAGGTTTTTCGGGTCGTGTAGTCAGTCTGGTAAATACTAACTCACGTTTCGCAAATGCTTGATGCCAGCAAGCCTCTCCGAAACGTCGGTCATTGCGTAAGAAACTGCACAGTGCAACATCCCAGGAGGAAATATAATCTGCTTACCCAACGTTTCCCAATCTGCATGTGTGTATTATTTTTACTGAAATTCTGTTCCTGAATTCTGTTCTGATAAATCGGACATTAATAGTGTTTTTGTGTCTTTCATCATTAATTGATAAACTGATAGTGTCATATTGTCAGCAGAAGTCCCAAGTCCCACTCTTCTTATTCTTACCACGAATTGGAAATATTTTGCATCCAGCAGCTTCCACATTTTGATTGCGAAAATATGGTGTCATCTTATCAAGTAATTTATATTAAATTCACATGAATCTCCTTTCCTCCAGTTGGTTTAAAAATTTTCTCTCGTCCGACTTAAGCTTTGAAATATCCTAACTAAACTTTCGAGACTCTACCTACGAGGTTTGTTGAAAATTATTTTTATTTTCTCAGACAAGCAATCTCTTTAATCGTTGTTGCATTTTCTGTTTAGAATTTTCTATCACAGAGTCAACCCAGAATGATTATATATAACTTTTTAAAACATTATTTTTTTACCATCGACGTGAATATCCTGTTCACTAAAATTCCTGTTTTAAGATCATATTCTTATTTATATTTCCTTAAGAATTAGGAATATCACTCTTTGTGTGTCTTAACCTCCAAATTATTTCAGTCCGTGGTATTTTCATTTGTTAGGTCTGTAATGCGACTGTGGGTCGCTGATACGCGCAGGTAGGGTCTTTGTGCCCTGATTATTATCGCGCTTTGAGTTCTCAAAGACAAGTTCCTCATTAGTAGCTGAAAGGGGTACGTCTCATTATGTGTTCTGTTCCTCGTGGCACTGTTATCGTTGGTCTGTGACTAACACGCACGCCGTATTGATCAGATTCTGTGACGCCCTTATTGTTCCAGACAGTGAGAACTTTGTTTTGTGTCAGTTTGCAAAACTGCTGGGTAGTTTAATAGTTTTAACCGCAGTACCTACATTATCACATTCACTTCACTGTTCATTAATTTAATGACTCTGTCGAACATTGCCTAAACTGAGTTAGGCTAACGGCTGTTAGGCTGGCGAACAGGTAACTTCGGCTACACGGGACATGACAGACTTAAATATCCGAGACTGGGGAAAATTACAAAAAAAATATCCCTTTTTAATAAACCTCGTGATTAATTAATTGCACGCCCCGTGTAACATCGCCTACCTCCCGTCAGTACCCTAATTAAGACGTCAGCATTAATTTGATTATGCTGTTTATCCAGTTGCATTAATATTTCCATTTTGTCTTGTGTTCCTGTTACTCACTGCATGTCCGGCCCGTAATTCAAAATTTGATTTGTCCTTCTTAAGCATTCTTTTGTAGGTCACTGTAAATTGTTAATACCAATTCCTGTTTTGGGTTCAATTCTCTTCACTACCAATCGATCGGTTGCGTCGTTGAAGTCGTGAACAGGGGAACAGACTCCGACGTCCTGCGAAATAAAGTAGACTGTGGGATTCCGTGCCCCAGCAGTTTGTCGAGTTGTTGATTCGTACGTCTACTTCACCTGTTTCCTTCTCTGCAGTGGTTCCACCAAGTCCATCTCTGGGAATTGGGCACCAGGGAGCCATATCGAGTTTCAAACCGACTACCAATTAAACCTGCTGCCTCTGCTCAGAACATAAATCTCCACCTCACCTCTTTTTTTCTACTCAGGAGCCGTCCTTTTCTCTTCGATGTCGTTCTGGGCGCCATTCCCGTCGAACAGAAGTCTCTCTGGCGCAAGAAACCATCGCCGCCCTCACACGCCGCAGTCGACGCCCCACCCCACCAAATACTTCTGTCATTCTCGCAGTCGGGGCGTTATGAATCAAATTTAGAGGATATACCTCCATATAATGACCTCCCAAGGGACACACGGATCGGTTTTACCCTTATCTTACTTACGTTTGTTAAAGCTTACAGAATAACTTTACAATCAAAATCCGGTACTTAATGACACGTGAAGGACTCGTATCTTCGTCTGTGTGCGCGTGCGTGTTACAAGGGGTGGGTTTACGAAGACAGTTTACGCCGATATAAAGCTGTCTTTAAATGTTCACACATGTCTTCTGGGTTGTAGCGCCGTGTAGTATGGTAGAAGTTTACCAAAGTTTCACAGGTCTTTTCTGCCTCCATCATCAGGGCGATGAGATACCTCAACACAGAAGACGGCCATCTTCAGGAACTCTTACATTCTCATTGGCTTCTGAGCCGTCCAGTTTCCAGCTTAATCCAAAGAAAAGTCAATAATTTTCTTGGTTGGAAGCTAAAAATTGTTCGATGCCTCGAAGTGATGGTTCGGATGTGAATGTATCGCATTTTAATTCCTGATGAACCGTAATTCAAACGGCGAGGAAGTTTCAGCGGCACGAGTCGGCAGTTATAGTTGCATGTAATTGAAAACTTCCTAGTACGTAAACATTTTATCTGTTGAACTACAGCGAAAATTCGGAATCGATGTTCCATTTCAGGAGTAATCTCTGGTGAAGTGCCCTGATTCATGTATTTTGTTCTCAGTTCTGTTCGGCGCCAAAATTCTATTGGAAGATCGATACGAATTGTTACTTGTACGGAATTCAGGTTTTAAATAGGCCTATTATGATGTTTCGTGTTACAAAAGCGACATTTAAATTAAAATTTAATAATGCGAGTCTAACAATTACTGAAGATTTTAAGCTATCTTAATGAATAATAAATATTGCTTTCGGATCACTGTTTCAAGGTGCAGACGACATGGAAGCTGTTGGTTTGATGAACCTGGGTCCATTCTGGAGGACGGCCACAGTTGCTCATTGATTAACCCAAAATCCGAGTTCGGTTTCCACAGGGTCTTACTGTCTCTGCCTTTGCGACGTAATAGGATTCCTTGGCATTACATTTGTGCCCGTGTCAGTGCGAGACTCACGCACAACAAAGCTTGGCTGCAAATCCAACTTACGTCGTGCTGACCTCAGTTGCCCTGTGTCAGTTTTTTTAAAGCAAAACAATGTTTCTTTGACGGTAGAATCTAACAGTGCTGCCAACACTGCAGTATTCTGACTTGAATGTGAGGCATTCTGTTATTACTTCTGGCTAGCTGGGCGATCGCCCGGGGCGCATTTGTCCTTATGTCAGCCTTCTTCGTACGTTGGTCCATTACCAGTTCGTACGTCACACAAAACTGCGTGTGAAAATGTCAGTTTCACAGACTTGCCTCTGTTTGATCAATGGTGAGCTCGCGAACTCGACAGCTGCTCGTTTCTCAGCTGGCTGTTCACAGATGGTCGAATATATACTTTCATTAAATCACCTGAGGACGAACATCAAATTATCATCTAGTAATCATCCGCATTATCATTATCACCATAATAAAATAATATTAATCATTATTTTTGTCAAATAAGCGCGTAACAGTCGTTATCATCAAATTATCGTCTTGCAGTGTCATAAACAGTGGCTGATTAACGTACAAATTACGTGCTTAGAATTCGTGCATTGCATTCGGGAGGCCTGGATTCGGTTCTCGGCCCAGTCGCCGATTAAGTATTTCGCGTTTACGTCTAGGAAGACGGTCCAGTTACACCTTAAACTTCGCGCTGCCGTTTTCCGACTCGTCCTTTGCAAAGATCGCCCGTTCGAACAAGCGCACATGGACTGAACGTTGCGTTCGAACGCTTATCACGCTCGCTTCTCCCTCGGGACATCCCGGGTAAAAATCTTTACCCGGAGGTGGGTTGCTCTGAGTGAGTGAGATTTGAGATTTTTCCGGCGGTAGAAATGTGCAATTTGGTCGAAAACGATTGTGTGCCTGCGCAGTTTAGTGCGTGTCCTGCAGAGAGCAAACGAGTTGCGTTTAATCAGTTTCGTGAAACTGGAAACTATGGTTTCATCGACAGATGGCGTTGTTTTAAATGAGAGGTCACACACGGAGTCACAGGAAAGTTTTTTTCTTTGCGCGTGTACAAATAATAAATTGAAAACTACACGAAGCGAAGAGGGAGTTGCCTTCTTTAAGGCAGTGCACCAAAATCTGCAGGCAGAGACTGATAAGAGGCCTGAGTAAAACCATGTGCTCGAAAGATTGTTCGTCTCTCTCGTCTTCTTGCGTGTGTGTGTATCTCACATATCGATTCGAGGAACTAGGTCTAGATAAAATACACTTATTAGAAAATCCTTCAAGTTATTTTGGCTGTCTCCAAGCTCCGAAATGATTTATA